CTCTGCTTTGTACTCTTATGCATGTGCAAGAGTACAACAGAGACAAGGGTGGATGTATCTTTAGGAGCAGAGGGCTGAACCTAACTGAAAGAGAGCTTCTGGCCGCACTCGCATTAGGATCTACCATAGGAAAGCATTATGCTTTCCTAGGGATAACGGTGACGCTGGAAGTCCTCATGCATAGCGTGAGGACGTCCAGCGTTGTTTGGACGACCAAAAGTAGTCTAAGAACCTGGAAGTCTCTCTAGTGGCTGTCTGCTAGACAGCCACTAGAGGAGGACTTAACCCTGCAATGTAATTATTGGAGTTTATAAAAACGGCAATAATTACATGCTCAGGGTTAAGGTTGATGGGTGTTGGCACCCAGACCACTTCAATGGGCTGAGGTGGTCTGGGTGCCTACAGTATTCCTTTAACTTAGTCAGATGGAAGGCATAGAAAGTCGGTTTCTGAATCAAACTGGGTAAGGAAATTATTGCTTGCTCAGCAAGAGATATGTATGCAGGCTAGAAGTAAAAATGGAACAAAGTTCACGGCCAGAGTTCATTCTACTAAAGAGGAATTTGGTGATAGAGTGTGTGAGGGGTGAGGGGTGGGTAAATATGAATATATTACTACAGAACCAATTGAAAATCACATTATGTGTTTTTAAGAAAAACACACGCAAAGTAAAATACAAAGTATAATACAAATGTCAAGGAACAGTAGTAATGCTTTCATCTTTCTATAGACACTATGGGCTTATTTACTAAACCTTTGTAGTGAACAATAGCTGAAAAAAAAGAAGCTAATTTTCAATTCAAAACTCACTACAATTTGGTTTAACTAAGTCACTGAACATGCTAATATTTATGATTATACTGTGATAATTTCCACTTAACCATTAAGTTTCAAATGAGTGAAACAAAGACAAAAACTAAAATATGAATATCAGATTTTCTGGAAAACAGCACTTCTTAAAAGATAACAAAACAATAAAACGGCATGTCATTAGTGACTCAGCTAGATCCTTAACCCCTTAAGGACACATGACATGTGTGACATGTCATGATTCCCTTTTATTCCAGAAGTTTGGTCCTTAAGGGGTTAAAGAAACACAGAGACAGGCACAGCTTGCAAACAACAAACTTTGTAATAGCATAACAAGTGAACTTCTAGGTTACCCATTCCAACTCATTAGAGGGAAGGTCTCAGTTGCAAATAAATAAAAGGGAAATATCTTGCACAACAATTCAAAACATTAGTATTTCGTTTTCTGCACATACAGAATTGTAATGGTGTGTGTTCTACTACTAGTTGAAAGACCCCTTATTAGTATTCTGTGGCATCTACTAATTACAGCTAATACATGTGTCAGGTTTTTGGGGAACTTTTTTAGGGTTAAACAACAGATATGACCTAATCTTTATCCGCCTCTTTACTTGCTTCTCAGCAGGGTTGCCATCAGGGCATACACCTTCAAGGGTTATGGTCCGCCTGAGTCCCATATAGCAAATGTATAATCTGTATAATTAGGGATGCTGAATGATGTAAAAACATAAACAAAAAACACAACAAGGGGAAGGAAGATAGTACAATAATCTTACTCCTGAGCGGGGGTTAACCCCTAGTGCAACGAAATGCACTATAAAATTAAACAAAAAAAAGAAGTGAGACAGGAGAAAGGATTGCACCTAGGCAAAAATTGGATGAATTATATGAAAGGGTGAGTGCCAAGAATCATCTTTTTGTGTGTGTGTGTATATATATATATATATATATATATATATATTACACACACACACAGAGCCCAAAAAAAGAAAGGGAACACAAAAATAACACATCCTAGATCTAAATGAATTAAATATTATTCTGAAATACTTTGTTCTTTACATAGTTGAATGTGCTGACAACAAAAATCACACACAAATTAAAAAAAATGGAAACCCATGGTTATTGCGCCTGGATTGTTTCTTTAAATAGTCTACCAGTGCCCCTCCCAAGATTAGGTTCTGGATCTGCGCTTAAACAGCAAGCATTTCTGCTGAACAGGGGCCCAATATATGCCGCAGCGCTGTACAACCTAGTTTTTTTTTTTTTTACTTGGGGC